TGTGGTGTGGCCCCCGACCCAGCGCTCCGGCCAGAGCGGGGCCGAGCCACATGGTGCAGCTCTCGGGCCGGCTTAAAACGGCTTGCAGGCCACAGTTTTCCCACCTCTGCCCTCGATATTCCCCAGGAAAACCACTTAACACTTTTTGTTCCAAAAATCCATTCTTGTCTGGCACATTGTTCCATACAGAACCCCGGGTCTCACATCTGTCACATCTCTCCCTTTGAGAGGTTACATACAATCCTGGCCCACAATAATACATAAGCCATTCATTTACTACAATGGACCCCAAAGATATTTAAACTTAATTCAATATGATCTCCCAAGGATATGACAGAAAATTGACATCTCTGTTCCACATGCCACCACCACCTCCACCCCTTTGCCCATTCCATCGCTAAAAAAATCATAACCATCCAGCATCTCTTCATATCTCCCTCCCTCCAGCTCCTGGTTCTCACAGAGACCTGGATCCCTCCATCTGACACTGCAGCTGCCCTCTCTTATAGAGGCCCTTCTTCTCTCACAGTCCCCATCTTAAATCAGACTGTGGTGGGGCTGTAGGGCTTTCTCCTCTCCTGTTCCTGCTGCTTCCAAACCTTCCTTCTTCCTCTTTCTCACTGTTCCTCTGCCCCTCCATGTCACTGTCATCTACCATTGCCCAACTCCTCCTCATCAGCCTTCTTCTCTGATTTTGATTCCTTGCTCTCTCTCTCCCTCTCCTCACAATCTCCCACACTCATCCTTGGTGACTTCAACCGCATGCTGATGACCCATCCAACCCCGTAGCTGTATGTTTCCTCGACCCCATCTCCTAATTTGACCTGTAGTTCTTGTTCAGCTCTCTCACTCACAAAAAGGGCTCTTCACTCAACTTGGTCTTCACCAGTCTCTGCCCTCTTTTGCTAAGGTGCCCCTCTCTGACCATCACCTAATCTCTTTCAACATCTCCCATCAGCCCCTTCCCTCACACTCTGTCACTCAGCCTTTCTGTGCCTTCCAGTCCATCAGTGTTGATGACTTCTCATTTGCTCTCAGCCCTCCCTCCCTAGTCTCTTCCACTGATATCATTATTAATCCTCTCCATGCTTCATTCTCCTCCACCCTTGATTCTTTTGCCTCTCTCTGCCATTGCAAGTGTAACCCGCACATCTCCTGGGTGTGGTGTTCTGTCCCCTCTAGTGGCACCAAGGCCATTTAGAGAGAGATATTAATGAGACTGCTCTACAGCCTGAACTAACAGCCATATGACTTTTAGCTCATGCAGTAGAGGCTCATGCATTTAGCTCCAGAGATCCCAGATTCGATCCCGCCCGCCGATGACCAGGGTCGGACGGCGTTACACCAGGTCTTCCCTGCCAACCCCTTACATCTGTTTCCTCTGCTCCTGCTCTCGCACTGCAGAGCATCTCTGGCAGAAATCCTGAAACCAGCTGACTTCCTCTATGACTAATTCATTCGTCTCTTTCAGTTCTGCCACCTTCTGAGCAAAGCAACTCTACTTCTCCAACTCAAATGAATAACACGCCTGCAATCCCGGCTGCTGTTCACTGCCTTTGACTCATTTCTCAAACCCTTCCCTCCTCCAGCCTCTTCTTCTCCCTCTCACAGGATCTCAACATTTTCTGCCAAGAGAAAACTGACAACATACAATGGGACCTTCCCCTGCCCTTTGGCTCGCCTCCATTTCTCCCATCCCCTCCTACAACTCTCTTCACCTTCCCTCTGATCAGATGCAGAATTTTCTCATCTGCTCTCCTCCTGTAACCCCCTCCACTTGTCAGAGTGATCCTATCCCATTCCCAGATCTCCCTTGCACCCACTCTCAGCCCCCTCCCTTACTCTTCTGCTTAACTGCTCCCTCTTCTCTAGCCCTTTCCCCTCAGAACACAAGCATGCTTTAGTTGCTCCCATTTTAAACAAAAAACTTATCCTTGACTCCACTTGCCTCTCCTGCTGCTGCCCCATCTGCCTTCTCTCTTTCATCTCTAAGCTCATTGAACACACTGCTTGTAATTGTTGTCTGCAATTCCTCTTCTCCAATTCCACCCTAGACCCTCTCCGATCTGGCTTCCAGGCTTTTCACTCTGCTGAAACCGCGGCCTCCAAAGTCTCTAATGACCTCCTGATAGCCAAAGCTCAGAACAAATATTCCATCCTCATCCTCCTTGATCTGTCAGCCACCTTTGACACCACAGACCACCTTCCTCTTCTTGAAATTCTGTCCTCCCTTGGTTCCTATGATTTTGTCCTCTCCATCCTAATTGCTCCTTCTGCATGTTGTTCAGATGATCCTCCTCATCCACCTGCCAACTTTCTGTGCGGGCTCCACAGGACTCTGTCCTTGGTCCCCTTCTCTTCTCCACCTACACCTTATCTCTGGGCACTCTCATCCGCAAACACACATTCAGCTACCATCTCTATGCTGACAATTCACAGATCTGCCTTTCTACTCCAGGCCTCTCTCTTTCTTGGCCGGTCTCTCTGACATCTCTTTGTGAATGCCTAGTAGCCAGTTCAATTTCAACAAGGCTAAAACAGAGTTCTTAATCTCCCCGGCCCCTCAAAAGCCCCGTCTGCTACTTCTTTTCTCAATCAGTAATAATATCAACACCATCCTACCTGCCAGTCAGGCCCATAACTTGGGTGTCATCTTCAACTCGGACCTTTCTCTAGATTAGGATGGAGAAAAAGATACAGTAGAACTGGAAAAGGTACAGAGAAGGGCAACAAAAATGATTACGGGTATGGAACAACTTCTATATGAGGGGAGATTTAAAAGACTGGGAATTTTCAGCTTGGAAAAGAGATTACTAAAATAGGATATGATAGAGGTCTATAAAATCATGAATGGTGTAGAGAAAGCACATAAGGAAGTGTTATTTATAACTTAGAATAACACGAGAACCAGGGGTCACCCAATGAAATTAATAGGCAGCAGGTTTAAAACTAACAAAAGGGAGTACTTCTTCACACAATGCATAGTCAACCTGTGGAATGCTTTGCTAGGGCATGTTGTGAAGGCCAAAACTATAATGGGGTTCAACAAAGAATTACATACATTCATGGAGGATAGGTCTATCAATAGGCATTAGCCAAGATGGTCAGAGATGCAACCCCATGCTCTGGGTGTCCCTAGCCTCTGATTGCCAGAAGCTGGGACTGGACGACAGGGGATGGATATCTTGATAATTGTCTGTTCTGTTCATTCCCTCTGAAGCGTCTGGTATTGGCCACTGTCAGAAGACAGGATACTAAGCTAGATGGACCATTTGTCTGATCCACTATGGCTGTTCTTACATTCTTATGAAGTGTGAAACCAGCTTTTGGCTGCAGTAGCCTCTTTTGCAGGTTTAGACAAACTATTTTCTTCATTTCAGTTTATTCAACTAGTTCAGTTCAATGACTTGTTCATTCATAGTTAGGAAACTAGTTGGGAGTTGAAAAATCAGGAAAGCTTGTTTTCCTCTTCCAACCTCTGAATAAAAACTCAGTGTGTGAGGATGAGCTCTAATACTTCGAAAACCTTGAAGGACATGATGACCAGAAATAATCAGTTCAATTGACTAACTACAGATAATACTCTCTTTGTTGAATACATCAGCTAACTCAAAAACATGCAGTCTTTCCTATCCATCCACACAGCTAAAACTTTCATCCAGGCTTTTATCATCTCATGTCTTGATTACGCCTCTCTGGACTAGACAAATGCAATCTTGCCCTGCTCGTGTCTATTCAGAATGCTGCTGCAAAGATCATTTTCCTATCCCATCATTTTGTTCATGTCACCATCTCCCTGAATCACAGATTCATAGATTCCATGACCAGAAAGGACCACTGTGATAATCTAGTCTGACGTCCTATATAATGAAGGCCAAACTTCCCCAAAATAATTCCCTCCACTGGCTTCTCCCTTCTCTGTTACATCAAACATAAACTTTCACTTTCAAGGCCCTTCACAGCTTATCCCCATCCTACCTATCATCTCTCATTCACTGTCAAAAGGTCGACTCCTGACTCTGATAGGCCCATGATCCAGCCTCCACTGCCCACTTGTTACATTTTCAAATTAGCACCTTCATGCTTTGTCCTATGCTGCCCCTCATTTTTGGGAGGTGCTCCCCACAAACTTGCACAAATCCACCTCATTATCCTTCTTCAAAACCTTCTCAAAACTCTTCTTTGCCATGATGTCTACAAAAAAATTTGACAATGGTTAGGCTGCTGGTGTGCTGAGATCACTGCCTGTCATGCTGACCAATAATGTCTCATTTTACTCCTCTGCCTGTTCTATACTTAGATTGTCAGCTCCGTGGGGCAGGGACCATCTTTTTGTTCTGTGTTTGTACAGTACCTAGCACAATGGAGTCCTAGTCTACGACTAAGTCCAAAGCGCTATGGTAATACAAATAATAACAGTAAACCAAACGTGAAGCATATACCTTACCACCCTATAAACTCAGGGTTTAAAATTACTTCCACATGCTCAAACTATTTTCCAACAAAGTCGGAGGACAACTGAGCAAAAAATATTTGATGGGATAAAATTCCATTCCTATAAATCAGCTTTACTTTATGACTTCCCCAGGAAAGGTGAAATGCCAGGATGACTAACAATAAACAGGGAATTAGACCAATCTCACTGAAGAGTACATATTAAATTCAATAAATCACATTATTACTTAGCGAGAACAGCTTGGGGAGCATAGGTAGCCTCAGAAGATGTTGAAGATAGGGTAGGAAATCTCTGTGCTCCATGTCTTATGTGGAGACAATATTCATCTACTTTTGTAAAGTGCTTTGAAATGTTTGGCTGAAAAGCACAATTATAGATGCAAAGTATTGTTATTTTGGTAACAGCCCAGACTGCACTGTCATATTGAAGATTATGAATATGATCAAACATGTAATGTTACAACAGAATAAAAATAATAAATGCTGATAGAGGAAAAAACCCCAAAAGATTTCTTTATCAAACACAGCAATGATTAACTACTTACCATAAACTGAACCACATCTTCAGGTTTGTGCTTTCCTGATTTGAATGCAGCCAGTCGGGTAACAGCTACAATGTGATATTCCACATGGCCAGACATCATCTTCCCACGGATTTCCTGGTACTCTGGCACTGACAAGTCTATCCCTGTGTGAGCATTCTGAACTTCCCTAAGAACGAAAACAAAATGTTGATTCAAATATAGACAGCACTGACAGGAACACCTTTATAGATTGCCTCAAAGAACACTTGATCCAAGGTCCACTGAATTCAATAAAAAGACTCCCATTTTAATAGGCTTTGGAGCTGGAATTAAATTTGGTCCTTAAACCATTGCTATCTAGTGAAAATATGACACCACCAACTATGCTGTGAAAGAAATAACAAATGTTGCTTGTGTAACATTTAAGTATTTAAAGCAGCACTGACTATACTCAGCTTAACAAGATACACTGCAAAACCCATACACTTTAGCATCAAGACTGAAAAGTATTTTGCATTCATTTTTAATCGCAAACTTGAAATTTGCTGCAGCCAAAAGAAACTTCTCCAATATGTTGCTAACTAACCTCCACAGGATTTTAGCCGAAGGGTCATATTTTCAAAGGTATTTAGGTGCGTAAAGATGCAGATCAGCACCTAACTCCCATTTCAGAAGCACCTAAGCCCCCTTTAAATATATATTACATTTAAATTTCTACTTTATACTATTTGAGATTATCTGTGAAAAGGTTAATCATCCTCTATTCTACTGAGAAATACCTTCTATTGTACTTTGTATTACTCTGTTTAAAATGCCTGCCCCTTTGCAAGGAACAGCAACTCCAATTAACCAAAGCAAAACCACTTTTCATAGCATGCAAATCACCACAAGCAGGTCTACAGATTTTCACGGCCACATCACCTAAACGTGCACAAATGAACTTCCTGCCATTTGCTCACCTTCAGCATGCTCCACCCACAGATGAGATGGAGAAAGGACCATCAGCCTCAGCCTCTGTGGCATTGCCTGCTTTGAACCCTCAGATATCTTAGAATACTTTTTTTTTTTTTTTAAACATACACCACGGGGGCCAAAGCAACCAACATTATTGCTGCAAAGGTTGTTTGTTGCCACAGTGAATTACGGGACTGGACCTCTAGGCCCAGTCCTCCTCTCTGGTATACACATAACTTCCATTGATTACTGTTGGAAATATTTATTATTATTATGCAGGATATTATCATGACACTAATTTAACCATAAATTCCTTTATTAAATCCAAAGCCTGAATGGTATTTATACAATTGCTCTAAACATGCTTAAAAAGCCCAAAAAATAAGCAATAAACAACAAGCAATTTACTGCATTCAAACAGTAGCAAAACATTTATAAGACTTTGATCAAGATACTTGCAAAAGGGCTAAGCCCAGTGGTGCTTAGACCCATAGTGGCTGGCTCCAACATGTTCAAGCAGGTATTAGTAATGAACCTTTTAAGAGTTTACTTTTTATACCCCTTAAACAGGCAATGTCATTGCCAATTACTGACTTCAGCTAAAAAACAATTTGAGACAGTTCACTTTTATTTCCAGTCTTAAACCAGATACAATTTACAACAGCGTTTCTCCCTAAGCCCTTTCCTCCCTATTTCTTCCCCTCGTTCTTCTTGACCAATAGTTTTTCCTTTGCACCCACATTCACATAGGCCCCAGTGTTGGAGATAATGCTGGTATGTGGGGTGGGAAAGCCCACGGTGGCTCTTTTTACAACAAATTCTCTTTGTCTTATTTAAAGCCTCTGCAGTCACCCCTATCAGTCAGAGCCCTTCTTTTTAGAAATTTCCCCTTATTTCATCAGTGATTCTTTGGACCAGACAACCTCCCTACTTCATTCCTTCTCGCTTTATAACTCATTACTTTCAAGGTCTTTCTTTATACCACATATTTCTTTAACCAAATTTGAGCTAACTTTAATTATTTATTCTACAACTACAGTGACAGTTACTCATATTCTGGGCCAGGAGAATAGGAGCCCTGGATTTTGCACCTCGAGTTATAAGCAGAGCTGCATCTGGCTAAAATTCACGAGACCTATGCAACACTGCATACTCAGGCAAAGTCCACAGTAACGGCTGAAGGTTAAATCCTGGCCTCACTGAAGTCAATGGGAGCTTTGCCACTAACTTTAAGGGGCCAGCATTTCACCTGGAGAGTTCTGCCTGAGTAAGGAGGGAATAAGGAACACTGATAGGAAAAACAGGAATCTGCTTGAAAGCAGGGACAGCCTGAGACACAATGTGAACATGTGCTTGAGAGCCAAAGAGAGATTCAGATTCTAAGGTTTTGTCTTTACAGATAAAAAAAAGTGTGTTATTACCATAGGATAACTAACGTGCATCAGCTATCCTACTGTAAAGTCCTAATGGAGGCAATGCACTGTAGTTCTACCATGGCAACTAGGCAAGGTCAACCACGGGTGGGGAGTGCTAGCTACCTGGCAGTAAAAACTACAGTGCCTTGTCTCTATTAAGATTTTTCAGTGACATAGCTATTGTGCAATAGTTATCTCACTGTAAAACACACACACAGGCTGTGTCTACACTTTAAACTGTGCAGCTGCACCACGGTAGTGCTTCAGTGTAGACACTCACTCCAGTGATGGGAGGGATTTTCCCCTCACTGTATTTAATCCACCTCTCCAAAAGGCAGTAACTAGGTCAACAGAAAAATTCTTCCGTCAGCCTAGCACTCTCCACACCAAGGGTTAGGTTGGCTTGGATGTGGGTATATGGATTTTTCAAGCTGAGCTGATTTAATTTTCTATTGTAGACCAGACATACACACCCTCCCTTTCGGCAATGAAGACAAAGCCTCAACTCTGCAGTTCATCAGCCAGCCCATTCCCTTTCTGACAGCTTGGGGCCCTGCCTTTACACAGGGTCCACAAATCATAAAGCCAGACCTACTGACAAGTTAGTGTTTTGATAGAGCTTGGGCCTGCAGAAGAACTGGATTACACATTACTTGGTAGATTTTAAAACAACAGCTGTGTCTGGGACTTGCAAACTTGGCCTCTGTTTTAAGTATTTGCTATCCAGTATGGCCACGTGTTTGGAAACAGGTCACATTTCATAGTTCTTTTTGCTTCTTTCCAAGTGTCTCCCTCCCTCTTATTACACTGATCGATTTACGTGCTTCAGAGGTTTCTTCAGATCACTGGAATTGTGCTGAAGCTCATAAAGTGAACGAGGCAGCTAAGATGAAGAAGAGCATTGAGAACTACCAGCTAATCAGAAATTGATTCAAACTTTAGCTGGGCTGATGCTAGATATTATTAATATAAATTGTTTATTGCCAGGTAAAAGAAACTCGTCTTCCAAACAGAACCACAGTGACCATCTTCAGTTACTACGGCACCATTTCAAAAGCAAATAGGAGCAGTGAGGATACCAGGCATCCATCTGACATGAAAGATGTTCCAATTCACTTTCCAAAAAGAGTATCATTCATCTTCCTGTTCTAATCATTGTACACTGTTGCTGTGCTTAGTTAAACAGTTGTTACCTCAGATGTGTCTACCTTTGAGTGATAGGTCAACAGTAATTTGTACTTTGATCTCCTATCCATTAAGACAAAAGGCAAGTGCAAGATATTTTAGACAGATTAAGTAGCAGACAGCTATTTACTTTAGGTACTTATATGGCCCCATTAATGTAGTATCTGAGTGCCTCTCAGTCTTTACCCTCCCAACACCCCTACGAGGTATTCTCCCGATTTTATCCTTAGGGAGGCACAGGGAGACTAAGTGACTTGCCCATGTCACACATGAAGTCTGTGGCAGAGAAGGGAATTGAATTTGGATGTCCTGAGTCCTAGATAAGTGCCCTAGCCAATGAGCTTCCTTTCTCTAATGTGAATATGATAGTGCTCTCAAGATCCTTCTTTATTGTTTTGTGGTGGAGTATGGTTAAGGATTAATGGAGGGAGGTTTTGGGAAAAGCAGTACACTAAGTCGTGCAGTACAGTACAGTATTTTCATTAACATTACAAATTCCAGAGTATACACCAAGGCACTATGTTCCGGCTGTTTGGATAGTCCCAGAAAGGCTGTACCTACGTGTAGGTCAACACGCAAAAATTCTAAAGCCAGGTTACACTCAAAAGTTAAGTCAACCCAGCTACCTTGCTCTGGAGTGTGAAAAATCAACACAGTTAAGCCAACCTAACCCCTAGTGTAGACAGTGCTAGGTCGATGGAAGAATTCTTCTGTTGACCTAGCTGCTGCCTCTCGGGGAGGTGGATTAACTATGCCAATGGGAGAATCTCTCCCATCACTGTAGTGCACTGGTCCCCAAACTGTGGGGCATGTGCCCCCCTAGCGGGGCGCAGGGAAATATTTTTGGGGGGAGGAGGCGGCGGGGCCTGGACCAGCCTCCACAAAGGCCAGGGAGGGAGCACCACTCAGTCCCCAGCTCCAGCCCCAGCTCCGCTCTCAGCTGCAGCTCGGGGGAGTGGGGGCGGACAGGTTGCATTATGGGTAAGGGGCGGGGCGCAATGGAAAAAGTGTGAGGACCACTGCTGTAGTGAGTGTCTACAGTGAAGCGCTTAAGTTGTGCTACTGTAGTTTTTCAAATCTAAACAAGCCCTAAGTAAGTCACTGTATTTCAGAAGGGAGAAAAAGAATGGCTAGATGTGTATGTGCTGTATCACTATGTGTACGCACAATGCATAAAAAAAAAACCATGGAGTAAATCCTCAGCTGGTGTAAATTGCGGTAGCTCCCCTGACTGCCATAGAGATATACCAAATTACATCAGCGGAGGATCTAGCCCTACATTTGAAATTCATTTCGATAACACTTTTCAATTATGCCAAAGTGCTGTACAGAAACCAGCAATACCGTGAGGGTAAGCATCCAAAGTTGATGCTAGAAATAGCATGATTAGTTTTTCAACGTAACTTTAAAAAAAGAAAGAAAAGCACAAGTATTATACAAAGAAGAATTTTACCAAGTAAATGCTAAGTAGGCAAAGACCCAGATGGTAGCAGTAATGACATTTCAGATAAGAATGTATAGAGTGAAAGATTACCCACTGTCCTAAGAGTTAATGAAAAAGGGATCATGTCATAAGCAAAAGAAAGCTATATTAATGAGACCATGAGCAGCTTTATCTCAGTTTGCCAAAACA